GTACAGTGTGAGTTATAACCCCCCCCCCCAAAAAAAAACCCCCCCACCCAACAACAACAAAAAAACCAACCCAACAAACCACAACTTTTCTACTTGCTGTAACTTAAAGTACCCTTTGGATTAGCCCTACCTTTGAGGGAATACTTGTTTCAGTTCCAGGATGCAGGGGAAAGCATCCTTGCATTCTTCTGTAGTTATGATAAACATATATATGCATGTGGCCTCAAGACCTTGGTCTTCCTACAGAAGGGGTACTCATACCTACCTGAAATAGCTCCTTTTGAATTTTTCTGTTATTCCCCATTTTGTTTTGACATGGCTATTCTCTCTTTTTCCTCGCTAGTCTCTGTAAGATGAGGCTGTTTCCAAATGGGGGGGTTAAGATAAATGTACTTATAGTGCACATGTTGTATGCTAGTTTGCCTAACTGCTGTATACCCGGCATAAACTGGCTGAAAACTGTTTTCTGGATTAGTCCCATGGGTTAAAACTGGATCAAGGCAGGGTTCTATGCTTAGTGACCAAGACTGTTCCAATTTGCCTTCTTGTGACCTAAATCTTCTGCTTTTAATTCTTGCTAGTCTTTCATGGCCTTTACATGCTAAAAGTAATGTTTTTTCATTCTAATTGTTCTGTTGACCAAGTAAATTCCAGATTAGGTTAAAGTTTGTGATTCATCAGATTTTGGCTGTGGATAGTAACCAGAAAGTAGGCCATTACTTGGGATTAGCATGTAAAGCATTCTTTCCTCCCTAGCCCTAGAGTGTAAAGATAGAGCACAGGCTGTTGCGTAATATATGTTCTTATATGCATGGGTAAAATAAATATGTTAGTTTTGTTGTCAACTTTAATAACAGATTTTGTACTCTTTCTGCATGCAAACAGGTTGATTTTATAAGTTGTTTCCTACTTAAAGGTTAAGCGCTAAGTCTGCGCTTGCTTCTGTTTGACATATGCTGGTACATACAGTTCAGCATGTAAGAGAATCAAAAAAAAATATTTACTTGATGCTTAAAAATCTTCAGTTTTCAGTTGTAGATTTGAGTGAGAGTAGCCATAATAAGTTTTATTCATGTTTGTTGTGTCCCTCTTAAGACTTAAGTATTAAACAACTAGACATCACAAGTGTTGGCCTGATCAATATGTGATTCATTGTATATTTGTATCTAGAACAATGAGACTTTTAGCTTCATGGAAATAAATATGCTAAAATAGATGCAGATATTTTCCATGGGATTGGAAAGGCAGATGAGTGCTTTTGGAAGGTGGCAGAAGAAAGTAGTGATGACAAAAAAAACATCTTGGATATTTTTGTTTTATATACAGTACGTAAATTAATGACTGCCTTTTTTTTTTTTTTTTTTTAAACTTGTTAAACATCATGCTTTGGAGTTGAAACCAGTTTGTCAGCAAGCATGTCGGGATGAGACCTAACATGAGGGGTAGACTAGCTGATATCTAGCTGCCAAATAATTCATTCACTTTCTCCTAAATACTGACTACTGCAGGAGTTGGCATATTGGACTGGACAGATATGTGGTTTATTCAGGAAATCCTTTGCAATAACTGAGTGTTAACATGGAACCGTGGGTAGGTGGAGTGAAGAATGGTACTGAGCTACATGAAATCAGATCCAGAACATTGATTTCTAGGTTACTGAAATGAATAAATTGCTCTTGATTTATTACGCCTCTTTGATTTGCCATTGATTTTAATACATACTTTGTTTTGAAAACTTAAGATATGAGTTTTTATGGGGTGATCTTTTTTAGCGTGTCCTCCAGCCCTTTTTGCCTTTCTAGACTTGCATCTGAAGTCTAATAGTAATAGTTCTTTTCTTTTTTATTCTAGGTTGGCACACTGGATGTGTTAGTTGGTTTGTCAGATGAGCTGGCTAAATTGGATGCATTTGTGGAGGGGTAACAATTTTTAATAGTATATAAAATATTACAATAATGGAGATCTTTTTTCCCCACAGTCCATGTTTTACCTACGGGGGCTTCCTAATGTCTCAATAGCCAAGTTTTATAGCAGGTTGACCGAAACATTATATTATATCTGCGTCCGTCTGCTACTCATAAACATATGCATTTTATGAAATTGTGGAACTTGCTGTCAATTTTTTTTTAATAAAAATAATTCTTTGAGCTACATCTCTAGTGAAAAAGCTAAATTTCACCTATTTTGCTTTTCTTAAGCTTTCTTTTAATACAAAAACTGGAGTTTCCAGGGAGACTGACAGTCCTTTGGTCTGAGTGTAGGCAACTATTGAAGAATTTATAAGGGTAAAGAAAATCTTATTGTCATGCTATTTTAATTCCTTAGGAACTTTGACATTTTTCTGTGTACCATAGGGTTGTCTGTTGTGGAGGTAATTAATTAGGAAAAAAAGACTAATTACTTATAAGAACATGGATTTGATTTCTATATGAGTAAAGAATAATGAGCATTTATATTTGATAGTAATATTTGATGTTTAGAAGTAACCAACCTGCTGCTACTTTGTAGCCAATCTTTGCTGGCTTGAAAATGTTTAAAGGTGGAGGTTCTTAAAACCAAAAATAGAACATACAGTATTATGGCAAGAACTTCTCTCTTCTTTCCCCAACCTCACTCAGAGAAACCAATCCATGTTCTTAGAAATAGTTAGTCTTTTTGGAATTAATAAACTCCACAACAGACAACCCTATGGTACATACATAATACAAGATGTTGGAAAGGGAATGCATAAAAGAAAACAAAGAAGGAAGAGTATAGGTGGAAGAAATATTTGGGATCAGGGTTGGAAGAGATTTATTTAGGGGAGGGACCAATCTTGAGGATGCAGAACTGGGCTTCTGGGTCTTGTTCCCAGGCCTGAAAAATCAGTTGCTTTCCCACTTCTGGTAAATTGTCCTTTTCAGAAAAGGATCTAACAAACATTCCTTGCTTGTGCTGATCTTAAAATATATGGATTTATCAAATTTTTAACAGCTGTTGTTCTGCTACTGTTTTTATGGCTCTGATACTGTGAAGCCCCCTTGCTTGCTGTTGATTTCAGTCAACAAACTTATATGCTAGCCAAGAAAATGTGCAACTGTTACTACCATTTCTCTGTCTGCTGAGTAGGACTTTCTGCTTCTCTTCTTTTTGAACTTGATATTTTAGTAGAAGTTTCTGTAATTCATGTGCTGAATTGAAGGTGAATTGGAGGGTGGGGAGAGGCCAAGAGTGAAATTTAATTCACTTCAAGGTTTAATGCATGCTTTTAGGACACTAGTATGGCATAGTTTAATTAAATCAACCAACTGACAAGTAGTGGTGATTGTGGTTTCTTAAACAAGTCAGCTGCCAGTTGCTTGTGGTTTATTTAAAAATTCATGACACATACCCCATACCCCAATGAACAAGCTTATGTACCTATGGAAGAAATACTTGTACAGCCTGACAAACATAACTGTTCTTTAAAAGCATGAGAGAAAAATAAATAACTCCTTTTCCTCTTAGAGCATTTTGTTCACAATTATTTTGCCAAATCAGAGTGCGTGTGTGTCACTGAAAGATACATAAGCATATGAGGTGTTGAATGCATTCAATTTTAATTTGGTAATTAACAGGGCAGGATTTCTAGCAATCTGTGTTTTTGAAGGGAAGGAGAAAATGACTTCAATAATGGGAGAACTTCTTGGTCAACACTCAGAGTAGGCAAAGTGTTCTTGTAGGCTGACATGCATAGACAGTTGAAGTACTGTTAAAGTAGTACTCTGCCTTCTTGGAGAAGATGAATAATTTAAAGCACTGAACTATTACTTGAGAAATCTGTGTTGTGAAGATGGACTTCTGTGGGCAGCAGTAATTCATTACTTTTCTCTGTGCCTTGAGTTTCTGTATTAAATACAAGTATATATACAGGCATACCTCAGAGATATTGCGGGTTCGGTTCC